TTATTGTAGAGATGAGGTCTTGCCAAGTTGCCCAGGTGGGTCTTGAACCCGCGGGCTCAGGCAATCCACTCACCTCAGCCTCCCAAAGCGTGGGATTACAGGCTGAGCCACAATACAGCCTGCAATCTTGTATGCATCGTAGAAAGAAGAATTTGCCAAAATATGACTTATTTAAAAATAGTAGAACCTGAGTCTGATCAAATCTCTATCTAATGCTAACCACCAATCTCTAACTCCACCAAAGTATGGGGAGTCCAGAGGACAGAGAAACAGGTCAAATGGTATTATACGGCTATCACAAGCAAAATCAAGACTATGGGAAACTGTACAGGACACATGATCTGAATTACTCAGTAAGTACACTGTAAGGGTGGGGGAGTGGAGAGAGAGAAAGAAAGAGGGAGTCTTATGAACTAAAGGGCTGTATCAATCATTTGCAATATATGGATCTTATGTGGATTCTGAGTTAAACTCAATTATATGACAACTGGGAAGATCTGAATATTGACTACATTATTTTTTTTATGTCTTATTAATGGTATTATGGCTTTATTTTTAAAAATATTATGCTTAGGATCCACTTCCAAATAATGGGGGAAAGAGGAGAAAAGGAGTGAGCCGGGGCCTGGACAAAGTGAGTCCAGCCATGTTATAGCTGTTGAGGCTGGGTGACAGGAACGGGGGTTCTTCATACTATTCTACTCTTGAATATACTTGAAATTTCCCATAATAAAGTTTAGAACGCAAGTAAATAACATATAGAAGCTATACATTTTGAGACATTATGATTTACATAGCATATATGGACCTAAATTCCCAAATGTCTGTTTGCACCCCAAACTCTGCCATCCATCAGTGTGACTATGAATAATTACTCTTGGTTCTCTCGCTGGTAAAATAGGAAAAAAATAAACGTACTTACACTACATAGGGTTGATAAGATTAAATAAGAATATATATTTAGCACTTAACCCAATGCTTGGTATATTGTAAGGGCTCAGAACTGTTAACTTCTTCTATACTCCTTTAAAATTAATTTTTACTTAAAATATTAAGGTTATTTTAATAATACACAATAAAGCCAATACCCTATTATGTTCACTAGCAGAAATTTAAAAGTCTCAAAAATGTTTGTTCATTGATTGGTTTCATAAAGATCAAATATTAACCACTTAGAGCAATTTTTGCAAATATGGTGGTCTCTTGTTTTTCTTCTTTCTAATTTTTAAATGCCAGGTATCTTGAGAGATTCTTTCAGACAAAATGTAATCACAAAAAGAGTAAAACTCTTGTTTCTCTTATTCGAGGACCATAAGGAAAACTCTATTTCTATATCAGAAAGGTAAGAAAAGGTATACATATTATCTGATACACTAATAACTTTTTATTTCCAAAGTTAAATCACTAACAGCATTCTTTATCATAAACTCAGAAAACTATCCTGAAGTTATAGGAGAGAAAATCAAGTGTAACATAAAATAATTTGTTATTGTCAATTATTTTGCTGTGAGTAGAACAGGGGCTGTCCCTTGAGCTCAAACATTTAAAATAAATGTGTGGAGATGGATGCTGCAGGAATATGTTTATACAAACAACTTCATGCAAATGGATGTACATTAAAAAGAGGGAGCAGTGTAAGCCTTATGGGAAGCTCAGATGTGTGCAAAAGGAATAATCTCTGAAATCTGCACACAAAGTATACCTAGTAGCATGATGGTGTCAAATATGTTGAAATTTGGCATATGACCATTTTTTTTTCTCTTTTAATTTTTGTATTTTAAAGATGTGGGGTACAACTCAGGGTTAGGTATACAAATGTTCATCATGCAGGTACCCAACAATCTTTTTTTAAAGAGGCAAGGTCTTGCTACATTGCCCAGACCAAGTATTGGTTTTTACTATAGTTTAAAAAATGATTAAAAATAAATTTTTAAAACTTCAAATAAAATGCTTGTGGGATGGCCAAAGCACCTTACTTTCTCTGGTATGCAATTAGAAAACACTGCTCTATATCTTCCCGTGGAAGGACAGATGAACAATCTACCCCTCTCAGGGAGATCAAGGCCATCACCTACCACACATCTTCTGGCCTGGCCAATTGTCATAACTGGCCTATTTACAGATGGGGCCTTTTGTAAATATGAAGAACAGTAGGGCACTTCAATTCATTGAGATTGTGAGCTCTGCTTTAGGTAGGAAGGATAAACAACCTCCCATATCTGAAGTGCTCTTCTGGACTTTTTCTGCTTAGTTCCCAGGGTCTGAGTATTCTCACAAATATTTTACAGTAAACATTTGTCTCTTCTAAACCTCCAGAAATGAGTCCTTCCGCACACCAAAATTCTCTACATAGCTGGAGACCTGCTCTCTTAACACATCAAAAACTTCATTTTAGCCATTTTGGATAAAAATCTTTAAAATTGGAGTTATATATTACTTGATTGTCTTAAACAGAGCATATTTAGCATAATATATATATTTTTACCCTTTATAATTATGTTGCTGCAAGTTGTTCATTTTTATTATAGAGATATCAGAAAATATGTCTATGGAAAAAAACCCAAAGAGAATGCACACAGCCTCCTGGGGCACGTTCGCACAGAGCCCCAAGGTGTACATTGCCAATAACCCTCAGATTGCTGTAATTTGAGTTCTTTTGTCTGCTTTGGATTCTGATGCTGGCTCCGCTATTGTTTGTCAAAGGATGTCATTTAAGTTTGCTGTCAAGATGTCCATCAGCAGAGCATCTCTCAGACCCCTCCTCCTTTGCTTCTTTTGATGATGAATTTGGAAATGACAACTCAGCCTCAGGGCAGAGTCAGTGGCTCTAAGTGCGGGGCTATATGGCACTCTGAGAAAAGTGCCTAAGCTTTAGTTATGGTCTAGGTGACATTTTTATTGGCTGGCTGAAGCCTATTTTGCTTATGCTGCGGTCTAAGCTGTAGTCTAAAACAGGCAAGGTTGACAGATAAGTTTGGTGCATAAAGTCATGGCATTGCCGAAACTTCATCTGCAATTTGAGTTTAACTTTATAGTTCATGTAGAGAAAAAATTCTCAGCTGTTTTATCTCTGACTATACCAAGGTCTATCTATAACTCATTGCTATATTGAGTGTTAAACCTAAGAAGAATATCTACAAATCTACCCACATGCCCTAAGAAAAAGCACAGAGGTACAGATCAACCCATAAGCCACTCAGGACAGATTCCGCAGCTGGATGCACGCCAGCTCCACTGTCGTCACTTGGGGTCTTGTGCAAGCACTCCTCACTGGCTACCACCTTATCTCCTCATGATGAATTCTTAAAATCTGAAAAGCTATTGCACTGACCACTGCAAAGGAATGTATCATCAGATGTGGAGCTGACCCTGGAGTGGGGCTCTAGCTAAGGGGAATGAGCAGCTAACTGCACTACCTCATCTTTCTTGATTTTTATCAATTTTTAAAAAAACTCTTATACAATTATAATTTTCTTGACTACAAGTTCACTAGCTTCTAATTTCAATAAATAACCTATCTGGTTCTTATTATAGTCAACTGCTTAGATTATATGTGACTTATTAAAAACACTGGGTACCTTCTACAGAATTTCTGTGTACTAAGCCAATATAATGAATTCTTGGTTAGCAGTGACTGGCCCTTCTCTTTCAGGACTCCCTGGAGGCTGTGTCCATGGAAACACGTTCTATCTGTGTCTTCTTCAATCCAGTTGAACTGAAAACTTGAAGGTTTTTTTTTTTCAGTAGTTGGTGTCAAATCAACCAGTGTGCTAAATTGTTTTTGTAGATTCACCACCATTTCTGGAAACGGAGGAAACAAGGACAGGAATAAAATAAAAACTAGTGTTAAACCACAAATAAAGCCTGGAGTTTACATGACAGGAATGAAACAACGGTGGTTTCTTAGTTGACAAACATACTCTGGTAACGTAAGAGAATAATAACAGGGGAAACAAAAACTAGATGAGGCGGATGGGAGAACTACCTAAAAATGGTTAAACGGTCATTGCATGTCATATATATTTTACCACAATAAAAAAAAAAAAAAGAAAGTACAATTTAAAGGCGATTCTACTAACAAAGAATTCTAAAGATCACTGATATTTAGAATTTTAGATTTTGGCAGGAATGTAAGCTCTGTTTAGAATAACAGCATGTTTCTGAAACAGAATCCTGTGGAGATTTCGTACAGAGAATGATGCTCCCTGGGATACATGTGCATTAGAATATTTGTTTTAAAAAGTAACAAATCTACTTATGCATTCACTTTTCAAGTCCAGACATTTAACTGTTCTACAGCTGTGTTGCTACTTGGTATTAGCAGGGGAAAATCCAACTCACCTCTTTTTTTATAGGCTACTGGTTTGTCAACGGATGAATAGTAGAGTGGCTTTTCACTTTTCCACACGTACCTGGACAAGGTAGAAAAACACTGAAGCAGATGGAGGCAAAATGGACCTACATACGTTTCAGAGAACAGCTCCTCCCAAGCATTAGCTGCAATTCCTGATATTCAGTGTAACAGCTCTGGCTCAGCTAGACTGGCCTGTGGGCACAGGTCTATGCTGTCTACTGAACTTAGGTCCTAAAAGGCAGGACTGATTGAGGGAGCAGACCAAGAGAAGGGTTTGCTCCTCCTCAGAGCCTCCCAGATGCTGTAAGACCATGAAGAGTTATTAATTACACACAAACGTAGAAATGGTTTCCCTTACCATACATTCCCCTTGCTGCTCATTCTCATCAAGTGAAGCCACCTAAGAAACAACCGTTTCCCTTTGCCTCAGCTGCCCTTTTGCTGAGGGTTAAGTTAGTGTTGCTTCTGAGTCTGAGTCATACAGAGTCTCTCTGGCACTTGACGCCAGAAAAATCTATCCTATTTCTGTTGTATATGAGGAGGAAAGATCTGGATTCCTGGATGACACAGTCCTAATAGTCCCTGCACAAACTCAACCTATTCTTGTTTAGGGAAGGGCAGCCAGAGAGGTTCCATTGCAAAATGGGGAACTTGGATTGATCTGGTTCCTGTGGTTCCCACCATGACAAAGACTAAAAGTCATCTGTCATCTGGGGTTCCTACAGATTGGGGTGATCAGTACTAGACTCAGGTGGAAGGAAAGTGACAAGTTCTATTTCTGGCTCTAGTGACCATTGATAAACTTTGCCAAGTAGACACTGCTGTTCTGAAACAAAGATGACAATGTTCAGTTTTAATTTCATTTTCATCACGTCAGAGTTACCTAAAGTAGAAGACTCATAACTTATACTGAAAAATACAGCTACCTTCTTCTTGATCTCAGGCCACTGTCTTATTTTGAGAGGCACTATGGAAATGGGAAAGAGCACTGAATCAGAGGACCTGACTCTGCCACTTTCTAGTAGTATGACCTTGAGTGGCATTATGGAGGTTCTCAAAGGCAGAGACCATCTCAATGTCTTTATGGCCCTAGTGCTGGCAGGGAATGGCACATAGTAGGGACACACTTAGACATCTGCTAAAAGAATAAATGGACGAATAAATGAACACATGAATTCGACATCTCTAAGCTCGTCTTCTACTTTCACAGGGCTGTTGAGGAACAATTAAGATAATGTATGTAGAGGTTCTTTAAATCCCGTACAATAATTAGAATTATTAGCCAGTGCTTGACAAAGTGCCTGGCTAGTGGATACTCAAGAAGCAACTAAACTTTCTAGAAAAAAAGATAATAAGGAATAGAAAGCCAGAAATACAAGTATTTTAATTTTTTTAATCTATAGTAATTGGTAATTTTTTATCATTCATTTTTAATGGTAGAAAGGAAATATATATAAAGTACACATTTTAGTAATGTTTAGTAATAGCTAACAAATGATCATTTTAACCAATTTAAGAAATGACATTTTTTCAGGAATTTCAAAAATACTTGATCAAGTAAGTAAAATCATGACTATACATAAAGCAGATGTTAACTTTTACTTTGAATTCCCATGGTGATTTAAAATGTTAAGAACAGAATTGAAATTTCTCATATCATCAGGGAATAGTGGAGATGTAAGAAATTTTTTTTTTTTTTTTTTTTTTTTAGTTGGCGCCTCACGCCGTCACCCAGGCTGGAGTGCAGTGGCATGCTCACAGCCACCCCAGCATCGACCGGCTGGGCTCAGGCTATCCTTCTGCCTCAGGCTTCCAAGTAGCCAGAACTATAGGCACACACTACCATGCCTGGTTAATTTTTTGATTTATTGTAGAAATGAGGTCTCACCAAGTTGCCCAGGCTGTTCTTGAACCTGTTGGCTCAGGTAATCCCCTCACCTCAGTCTCCCAAAGTGCTGGGATTACAGGCTTGAGTCGCTATACCCAGGCATTTTTTTTTTTTTTAAATAAAGCTGAGATCCCACTATGTTGTTTAGGCTGGTCTCAGACTCCTGGCCTCAATCCTCCTGCCTTGGCCTCCCAAAGTACTGGGATTACAGGCGTGAGCCACTGTGCCTGGTCTACGTAATTAATGTAATATAGGAGACAATCTTTCTGAAAATTATGTGAAACTCAAGTTTGGTGAACCATATCACATTTAAAATATATCAGAGAGCTTGTCTTACGAATCTATGGTAAATGAAGTCTGTGATTCTTTAAGATATGTTTGTTATTAATTTTCGTAAATAATAAAAGTAACAAAATCTCACAGGATAAAGAAGTTCCCTAAATGAAATAGTCTAATCCCAATCCCTGGGTACGCCCTATGAATACCTAATCCAGAAAGAAGTTTGTACACATTAATAATATCTGGCTATATAGGTGGCAATCATGCTATAATCAAGGAGGCATTATTACTTCCTTGGGTCATATGCCCCAAGAATAAGAAAGGTGATCTGAAATAAAAACACTCTAAGCATTTAGATACCTCTTCTGAAAGCAAAGCTTCTTCATTCATTCACTATATAAACACTACCCACCACTTCCCATTATATACAGCTACAAAACCAAAGCCACAAAGGTCTTAAGTTTTCCAGCTAGAAATTATCTGTATGCTTCCCTCCTGCTCTACAGGATGTGTTTTCCCATTTAAAACATTATGACATAATTTATATATGGTAAGACTCGCTTGCTAGCATTAATAAACACATACAGTTGCGAAGTCTGCGCATGGTTCTCATGCCTGTAATCCCAGCAGTTTGGGAGGTTGAGGCAAGAAATCGCTTCAGTCCAGGAGTTCGAGATCAGCCTAGGCAATACAGCGAGACCTTGTCTCTACAAAAAAATTTAAAAATCAGCCAGGCATGGCAACATGTTCCTGTAGTCGCAGCTGCTTCTGGAGGTTGAGGAGGGAGGATCATCTGAACCCAGGAGGTCGAGGCTGCATTGAACTGTGATCCTGTCACTGCACTCCAGTCTGGACGATGGAGTAAGACCTTGCCTCAAAGCAAAACACACACACACACACACACACACACACACACACACACACACACACACAGTTGTGTACTCACAATGATTACTATGCAGAACAATTCCATCACTCCCCAAATTCCCCAAGCCCCTTGACAGTTAACCCTTCTCCACACCCTTGATCTTGGGCTGTTTTTCTTTCCCTATAGTTTAGGCTTTTCCAGAATGTCATATAAATGGAACCATAGCATATGTAACCTTGAGTCCTTCATGTAGCATAATGCACTTAAAACTTTTTTTTTTGTTTTTGAGTTGGAGTCTCACTCTGTCACCCAGACTGGAGTGCAGTGGCCGCTCCCGGCCACCGCAGCCTCGACCCGCTGGGCTCCAGCGATCCTTCCACCTCAGCCTTCCAAGTAGCTGGAAGTACAGGTGTGCGCTACCACGCCCAGCTAATTTTTTGATTTATTGCAGAGATGAGGTCTTGCCTGCCCAGGTGGGTCTCGAACCCACAGGTTCAGGCAATCCACTCACCTCAGCCTCCCAAAGGCACGGGATTGCAGGCTGAGCCACCAAGCCCGGCTCATTTAACTTTTCATAATGCCTGTACCATTTTGCATTCCCACACTAGATATGGTTGGCTTTTCTGTTAGCCATTCCAATTGGTGTGTAATGACATCTCACTGTGGTTTTAAGCTGCATTTCCCTACTAATTAATTATGTTAGCTAGGTTCAATAGCTCACGCCTGTAATCCCAGCACATTGAGTGGCTGAGACAGAAGGAATGCTTGACCCCAGGAGTTTGAGGCCAGCCTGGGCAACACAGAGAAACCTCATCTCTACAAAAAATAAAAAAAATATATATAGCCAGGCATGGTGGCGCATGTCTGTAGTCCTAGCTACTTGGGAGGCTGAGGCGGGAGAATCATTGAGCCTGGAGATTGAGGCTGCGGTGCCAACCGCACCCTCATGACTGTGCCACCGCACCCTAGCCTGGGTGACAGAGTGAGACCCTGTCTCTCAAAAAAAAAGGGACATTAAGCATCTTTTCATGTCATTTGACACCATCTTTGGTAAAGTGTCTATTCAAATCTTTTGCCCATTAAAAAAAAATTCAGTTGCTTTCTTATTATATAAGAATTTACCAATTTTTAAATTTTATTTTATGGGTCGTGATTTTAGTGTCATATCTAAGAAATGTTTGCCTAATCCAGAAGGGAAGGCAAAAATTAGTAGGGAAATGCAAATTAAAACCACAATGATCATTACACACCAATTAGGTCATAGAGATTTTCTGCAGAGGCTTTTAAATTTTTCTCCATGTTCTTCTTAACATCTTCTATGACAACTGGAAGTCATCAAAGCAGCTTCTTACACTGTTTTTAGGTTTCAACTACTATTTATTAGTGTTTTTCATAATCTTATACACGGGACCCATGCTTAGCTATAGAAAATATTTTAATAATTTTCATCTGACAACATGGATGATGATGTTCAGAAGAACAGAGAGAAAAATTAGAAATTTATGTCAAAACAGGGGTGAAGTAGGGTGAAACAGGCAGGTAATCACCATGTACAGGGGCTTTGTGCCAAACATTAGTTAGTATTGATTTACATATTACTTAGTCATGAGGCATACTGCATATGTGTATTAGCCCTTAGCACATATGCAGAAGGCCCTAGGTAAGGGATCCCCTGGATAATCTCCTCCTTGGGGTCTGGTATCTCCCCGGAAAATGCTGTTTTATAATGAGACCTATTTTCTTTGGCCACTAAATTATTCCTTAAAGTAGCTAAAAGTCAATCTTAAATGTGCAGCTGATTATAACACTGCAATATGAATTGGGCCTCTAATAGCCAAGTTTGAAGTGGAAGTTGGTGCGTGGCTGGTACCTGGTTTGGGCTAAGGAAAGCCTTGTCATCACGAGACACCTGGGTAGCATGGCACCTGAATGCCTGTGCTCAGGATTAGTAAGGATTAACTCTAGCCAGCACCATAAAAAGGGAGGCTGATTCTCCAAGATGACCTAAGACAATAGAACAAACTCTTGCTCTTGCTGCTAGTCTTGGGCCCACTGAGACCATGACTAAAGAGACATTCTTTCAAGGTCTTACTACTTGAAAGTGGCAGAGTAAGGTCCTCTGACTCAATACTCTATCCCATTGCCACTGTGCTTCTCAACATAAGACAATGGCCTGACATCAAGAAGGCAGATCAAGATACTGGACGAGGAAGAGGAAGGACCCAGTTTCCTGAGAATCCATGGGAAAGTATAGATGGGAAATGATCAAATATGAGGAAGGAAAAGAGGGAGGAGTATTAGAAATGCAGGTGAGACCATGCAAATTATAAAATTGCTAAATACATCGTAGCCACTGAATTGGCTCCTGGAACAGAAAGAGGACATTAATAGAAACACAGGTGAAATCCAAATTAAATGTAGAGTTTGGTTAAGAATCATTTGTAATGTGGCTGGGTGCAACGGCTCATGCCTGTAACCCCAGCACTTTGGGAGGCTGAGACAGGAGGATCACTTGAACCTAGGAGTTTGAGACCAGCCAGGACAACATAGTGAGACCTCATCTCAAAAAAAAAGCATAAAAATTAGCCAGGCCTGATGGCACATGCCTATAGTCCCAGCTACTCAGGAGGCTGAGGGAAGATGTCACTAGAGCCCAGGAGATGGGAGGGTGCTGCTGTAAGCCATGATCGCACCACTGCATTCCAGCTTGGATGACAGAGTAAGATGTCTCAAAAAAAAAGAGTTATAATAATGTAAAAAAGAAAAAAGCTTATTAGTACATAGGGCTAATGTTTCTTTTTTTTGAGCTGGAGTCTCACTCTGTCACCCAGACTGGAGTGCAGTGTCCGCTCTCGGCCACCACAGCCTCGACCTGCTGGGCTCCAGCTATCCTTCTGCCTCACCCTTCCAAGTAGCTGGAACTACAGGCGCATGCTACCACGCCCGGCTAATTTTTGATTTATTGTAGAGATGAGGTCTTGCCAAGTTGGTCAGGCAGGTCTCGAACCTGCGAGCTCAGGCAATCCACTCACCTCAGCCTCCCAAAGCGCAGGATTACAGGCTGAGCACCGAGGCCAGCTAGGGCTAATGTTTCTAGAAAAAAAAAAGTCACAATGCTGATGAATCAATATCGATAAAACCTCAGCTTTCAAATGTAAAGTAACAGACACAGAAATAAAGTAGGTGAATCTAAAACCAGAAGAGATAACATACTTTGCCCTTGCTTCCTCCCATTTTTGTTTTTTCTCATCAACAGTTTTCTTCATAACTTGGTACCACTTTCTGAAATCAAACCACGGCTTATCTGAAAAGAAATAAAATCCTAGACTATTAACCAGATAAATCACATTATAATAATATACACCGTTCACTTGCATTTTCATTCATTGACATGGCTAAATTTACATAACAGCACTTGGAAATTATGGATGAAGTCACTATCTCCATACTCTAATAGGACTCTCCTGAGCAATCCGTCACTCCTTCCTCTAAACTCCTACCGATGAGATGGCCCCAGATTATACCGAAATTGTCTTTTTACAAGTCTGTTTCTCCTAGATTTGACTACTACCTCCATAAGAACAAAAAACATTTCTCTTGTTCGCCACAAAGAAAAACATTGATTTTGTTTGCTACAAAAGAGGCCTGCTCCTACCTCCAAACCCAGCACAGTGCCTGGCACATGGTGGTGTTCCATATGGTGAATATATGAACTAAGGAACAAATGACTGACACATGTAAAATGGCACTATAGTAGCTGAATCCAGATTCCCAGTTTCATCAGCTCCTATTCCTGTTCCTCCTGATCCTAATCCAAAGCATCTAGAGATAAGTAAGAAAGTGGATTGTATTGAGCTAGTTGGTGTGTGTTCAAGATGTAATAGTTAGAGAAACAACAGAACTGAATGCAGTCAAGTATAAAAATTTACTCGTTGCTTTTAAATTCAATCCATATGGGGTTTATTCTCCATTATTCTCTTATGATGGTAGTCTCTCGCAATGTCTAACTAAAAATATTTTCAACTGGTCAATATAATCATCACATAATCCAACATGATGACCTTGTAAGCTGTAAGAGTTGTAAGTACAGATTAAAACTCTAACAATTAATAGAACCAAAGGTTCTTTGACCTTTAGTATGTCATAACTCCTTTGAACCTCAATCTCTTCAATCATGTGGGGAGGCAGGGCACAGCGGCCAGCAGAAGAAGAGAGAATGGGGACAACAATCCTTGCCCTGCTGACAGCATAGATTTATTTTGAGGCTTATAGGGAGCCAAATCAAAGTGCTCTGTTAACTCCCTATGTCTATGTAGTTTACTATCACCTTTTAGCATCAGAAAGAACATGAGAAGATAGCCAGTTCAACCTTTTGCTCTACAAAGAAGCCAACATGAGCAATGTACAGAAAGAAATGTTTTATTCTGCACATATTCTGGAAAGAACATACAAACTGATTACTACCATTAAACTCAAGCTTTTAAAACTGATAAACATGAATCCTAGTGAGAGCATTAAGAAACTGGAATTGAATTTAAGAATTCACATATCCACCATACTTCACTGGGCTGCTACTAGGCTAGTCACTCATATTAGGCACTAAAGAAACATTTAAAAAAAGATACAATCCCTCCCTCCAGAAGCTTATAAAGTACTTATTATATGTCAGATATTCTCCTAAGCACTTTACCAATATTAGTAATCTAATAGGAACAGACATACTTAGGCGGTTAGCTATAAATCAAGATGCTAAATATCTAGTAGAAGTTTGGACAGAAGTGATTGAGCATGGGTGATTAGGGACTTGGGAGGAGGTGAACCAATGTGAAGCAGGTGTGAAGAATAGGTGGAAGAGCGGTATTTATGCTGCATTTGAAAGAACGAAGAGGGATTTGTCAGGGACTGCAGGGGAGCTAGAGGATAAGAAAGAAAGAGCATTTCAGATAGAAAGACCAGCATAAGCAAAGTCTGAAGGCATTAGAATAGATAGGATAGAAAGCCGCCAGTAAGCTCATGGTCTAGCATGGCTGGTGAGCAGAAGTTGGGAATAAAAAGCAGGCTGGTATGACACATAGTAGGAAGTATCAATGTTCTTTTAGTAGATATAATTAGAGAATTATATGAAAAAAAGTTCTGGCACTAGGTACAATTTGTATCCATATATATGTATATGTGTATGGGTATATTTTTCAAAGACTCCCCCCCTACACTTATTGCATCTTTTTTTCATTATGGCCCATAGTATATTTTGCATCTATTAATCTGTCATCTACAATCATTTTGAATTTGACTGATAAAAAAAGCAAATACCATTTTTGTTCTTTTCATTATGTTTTTCAGCAAGACTAGACAAAGACCTGGAGATAAGAATAAACAAGTCAATTATTTAGCAATCACATATTTGGAGAGTTCAATTTTGAATTCCTCTGAGAGAACAGTATTTGAAATGATGCCAAATTTTAATGGAGAAGCAATTACTGAAACAGAGAAGAAGACACTGTAAATACTGTCACTGTTTGCTGGCATTTGGGAAGGATAACATATTGATTTCTCTACTTTCTAAAATTGTCTTTGAAAGACATATAGTGCCGGGATATAGTCAAAGCGCTAAATGATTCTTTAAGATTTATGATGATACTTTCTACCATTTTTTCTTTTTTTTTTTTTTTTTTTTTTTTTGGAGTCGAGGTCTCACTCTGCTGCCCAGGCTGGAGTGCAACAGTGCAATCCTGGTTCACCACAGCCTCGAACTCCTGGGCTCAAGCGACCCTTCCACCTCAGCCTCCTGAGCAGCTGGGACTACAGACAGGCACCTGCTACTATGACTGGCTCATTTTTTTATTTTTTATTTTTGTAGCGAAAAGGTCTCACTATACTAGTCTGATCTCAAACTCTTGTGTTCAAGAGATTCTCCCACCTTGGCCTCCCAAAGTGCTGAATTACAGGCGTGAGACATCGTGGCTGGCCTATGGCGATACTTTAAAACTCAGAAATGAGTGGAGAAAACTCAGAAACTCAGTGGAGCAATGAGAAACACTGCTACCCAAAGAACGGGAGTAAAACATGACCAAACAGTTGACAACCAGCTGAGTCAAGGTATTATGTAAGAAGCAGCTGTTATGACTAGTTGCTGTTCTATAACAACTGAGAATCTCCATTTTCTACTGGGATAACATATACATTCTTTTACTACAAATAATTAGGTAAAAGCAGTATAATATTTTTCCTTAGCTATTTTTAAAAACAAAGATCGGCAACAATAAAGTGTTACTTGTCACACAATTGACATACACTTACCATTCTAAATTGTCATCCAATAAAAAGAGCAGTTTCAATACCACTACAATGAGAGCTACAGCTTGTACATCATATTTAACAGTTTTTGCCATTTTAGCTATAGGATCAAATGTCAGAAAATCCACTTCTCCTATTCCAGTCATTTTTACCACCTGGCAGGTTAAGCTGTACATTTCATCTGTTGAAAAACAGAACAGTAAAATGTGAATTAAATTATTTGGCTAACTATACCATACTAATGTGTATACATATGAGATGAGTTTTATCTCAAAATATGATACTATGCTAGAACTTGGAGACACATGTTTTACGAATAAAATAAACTAAAAGATGATATCTGCATAGAAAAATGTAATGGTAGAATCCTGGCTAGGCATATAATTTCCAATTTGACTTCCTAAAACGTCTACTATTTGTAGGACACATCTTGGCATGTCATAGATAGCCACACAGCAGTTGTTTTATCCACATTTCTTGTCTGTGTTTCTATAGCATGTGTGCTTACCTGAAACTAACCTGCTTTGAGACTAAAAGTTTCTCTAGGAATGCACATGTACTGGTTGGCACACTGGTTGGCACATGGTAAGTCCTCAACATCTGCTTAACTAGATATATTACCTTCTTAAAGAAATTATATGTTCAGCATAGACTGCATCTACTCCTCAAGGCTGAATAATGTGAAACTCAGAACCAGAAAACCTAGGGCCTATATTTAGGCTTTCCAATCATTAGCTTTGTGACTCTAGATTAGAGTCAATTAACCTCAGTTTCGTCACTTGTAAAATGGGTTATGCTGAGGATAAACTGAGATGAAATAAGATAGTACAAGTGAATAAACTATGAAAAATCTTAAGTTACTAAATAAATGTCTATATTTCCCAATCTAAGTACCTAAGATGTAACCACATCCTATTCAAATGAATCTCAAGTATAACAGCCATTATTTATAAGAGCACAATGAACTTACATGGAATTGAACTGAGTCTCCTACATGCATTCAATGTGTCCTGTTGATTCCACTTCCTCAACATGGCATACAATACTATGGTTAAGAGCAAACTACAGAATCAAACTGACTGGATTAGAGTCCCTGCACCATCACTTACTAGCTCTGTGTCCTAGGACAAGATACATAACTTCTCTGAGTCTCCATTTAAAAAATCTGTATAAAATAGGCATGAATGAATTAATATACCTAAAGCAATAGGAATGAATTAATATACCTAAAGCACTTAGATCAGTGCTGACTGCTCTCAAATCCATCCCCCTTTCTCCCTCTCTGCTGCTCTCCTTAGCTCAGCCTCTTAATTGGTTCCCCTTCCTCTGGTCTTATTCTCCCATGGTTCAATCATCTCACTCCCCTGCTCTCATACACTCATTAAAACTTCAGCTTAGCCGGGATCGTGGCTCAGCATGTAATCCCACGCTTTGGGAGGCTGGGGTGAGTGGACTGCCTGAGCCCATGGGTTCGAGACCTGCCTGGGCAACTTGGCGAGACCTCATCTCTACAATAAATCAAAAAATTAGCCAGATGGTGGTGTGTGCCTGTAGTTCCAGCTACTTGGAAGTCTGAGGTGGAAGGATCGCCTGAGCACAGCAGGTCGAGGCTGCAGTGGCCAGGAGCAGCCACTGCACTCCAGTCTGGGCGACTGAGTGAGACTCCAACTCAAAAAAACAAACAAAAAAACGACTTCAGCTTATGGGGTGAGGAGGGGGGAGGGTGGAAAAAACAAAACAAAACAAATGTTCAGCTTCTAGCCTGACTAGATCTCTAGTTTCCCAAGCAAGCCAGATTCTCACTTGCCTTTCTGCTGTGCACAGCTACTGTTGACCCTTTGCCTGGAAAGCCAATTTCTTTCCCCCATTCCTCAGCTCAGGCTTTGCTGAGCTGATTCTGTCATCTGATAGAGCTTGGTTTTACCAATCACTTCTAAGAACACATGCAAGACACCAGCAGCCTTCTTTGACTAGCCCTCTTCAGAGTGCTAAAGCAGCTTGGCCAGCATCTGCCCTTCTACGCCTATAGTTTTTTGTTTCCTTCTTAAACTCAAGAGTGCCTCAGTCTTGCTTTATTTGTCTTTCTAACTGCAGCAACCTACAGACAACTTGTACTAATTACATGTTTATGGCAAAGAATGAGTAAAATGCAAAATTAATTCTTTCCTGAAATGTTTAAGTAAAAATTATTCACTGATTAAAAAATGCTTTGTTGACACAGAAATGGGACAAACGAGGGGGGATTAAAAAAACCCTGGAATTATTTTTTGGAGGGTAGGCTGCTTGTAGTATAAGCTTCCCCTGCTAGGTAAGTGTTCTAGGAACTCACTAGCAACCGTGTGCCAGCTAGTATTGTTGTGAGAGGTTGCGTTCAGCTTCAGTGAATTCTTTTTTGGAGGTTCTTTCCATGTGCTTGCCCATTTTATGATGGGTGATTTATGAGCACACCTGCCCACACCCTGCTGAGTGTTCAGCAGTTTTTGACCAAAAAATGGCATGATCCCTGTGCCCCACTGTCCCTATACACCCAATCTTGCCCGAGCGATTTTTTTGTTTCCCCAAATGAAAAAAGTCCTCAAAGGGAAACGTTTTGCTGATGTGTCAGAGGAAAACAAAAACCGGCAGAAGCACTAAAAGACATCAAAATTGATGAGCTCAAAAACTGCTTTGAGCTGTGAAAAAAGTGTCTCGATAGCTGTACTGCATCAGAGAGTACTTTGAAGGTGACTGAAGTTTAAACATATAAGAAAAAATACACAATTTTAAATAAATAAATTCTTTTTTGTGTATTCCCCTTGGTATATAATAATGACAATTCAAAATATGGCATCAAAGTATTTTTATATGTCTACTAGATTCTAATAACTTTAGATAAAATTTTCACTGGGCTTTTATTCATTCTTTCAACAAACATTTACTGAGCAACTAGTATGTTCTGGGTACTTGAGATACAAACACAGGCCTTTCCTTCAAGGAGACCAGTGTTTATCAACATGCAAATAATTAATACGCAATACTGCAAAGCCTAGAACAAAGAGGAGACGGTGCTTTGGAGAAATGCAAACAGTCCCACAAGATTTAGTGTTGAATATAAAGAGGTTGGCAGAGCCAGAGCATGAAGGTCTTTGTGAGACAGAGAATTTGGACTTACTATTGTTAGGATAATTTCAATTTACAGACTCCACCTGAACTCACTCTTGAGCTTTATTCAGGTGCAAAAAGATTAGAAAATACAAAATTAAGCTCAATTCAACAAGCATTTATTGAGTATCTACTATGTACAAGACATTGTGCTACAGTGGAGGAAACCAGAAAAATGAGTAACAGCTAGGACTCTTAAACATATACACTGAAAACATGAAAAATTAATTTAAAAATACATTCACTAAAGTTTTATCTATTTCCTGTATTGAGTTATATAAGTTATGATCTGTTCTCAGCTAATTTATAAAGCAAAACTGTATTGGTATTATTAAAAAGAATGACATTTTAAAAAATATTTCTTTTTTTTTTTTTTGAGTTGGAGTCTCACTTTGTCGCCCAGACTGGAGTACAGTGGCCACTCCCGGCCACCGCAGCCTCGACCTGCTAGGCTCCAGCGATCCTTCCGCCTCAGCCTTCCGAGTAGCCAGAATTACAGGCATGCGCTACCACGCCCGGCTGATTTTTTTTTTATTTATTGTAGAGATGAGGTCTCACTGCCCAGGCGGGTCTCGAACCCGCAGGCTCAGGCAATCCACTCACCTCAGCCTCCCACAGCTCAGGATTACAGGCTGAGCCACCGAGCCCGGCTAAATATTTCTTTTTAAAAAATTAATATCTTGAACTGCTTCTCTTGTACCAAAAGTACAGAGTAATAAAAAAGCAAGTAGAAGAAATGATAAGAAAGGTAGCAAGGATGGTGTAGGATCCTGAGAAAGAGCATAACATGGAAAGATCACAGTACTTGTAATAGAAGACTGGGCTGGAAGAATCTACCAACTGGGTGTCACTGAGCCTCCTTAAGTCTCATCTATCAATGGGAATCCCGCTTGATCTCTCTTCCCACCTTCACAAAGAAGAGAATATGCAGAGTTCCCCAGAAGTTACCCAAGCGATTGCAAAAGGTACCAGAAACCAACTGTGCTGCCCATTGAAACTGGACTGGATTAAAAAAAAATGTGGTACATATACACAATGGAGTATCATGCAGCCATAAAGAAGGACAAACACATGGACTTAGCAGCAACCTGGATGGATTTAGAGTCTAGCATACTCAGTGATCTATCACAGAAACAAAGAACAGAGTACCACATGTTCTCACTCATAAGCAGACCCTGAACAATTACCATAATACTATAAGAAAGGGATTGGCAGTAGTGGGATATTGCCGGGGAGAAGGTGGGGAGGGGAACACAACATCAATAAGGGTACCTGATCTCTAACCAGGCAAAGTGGGACCAAAGGGAGGCCCAGACTTTAACTGTATGATGACCACTTGTATACCTCATTCTGAAATGTACCTCACATCTTTAAAATAGAAATTAAAAAAATAAAAATTTAAAAATAAATGAATAAAATAAAAGTTTATTGTTTTCCCCTTACTAGTAAGTAATACAAACTCAATATAGGATATTTATAAGACACATAAGAAAGGCAAACATAACATGTACTACCCTAACTTACAGATAGTCCTTTATTTTGGTATAGTTATTTCTATTTCTAATATTTTAATGAATATTTTCATTTTATGTAGCTGTGTTCAGGTAATATATAATTGTGCAATTTGGCTTCTTTTTCTTTTCTTTTTTTTTTTTGAGTCGGAGTCCACTCCGTTGCCCAGGCTGGAGTGCAGTGGCACGCTTACAGCCCCAGTATCAACCTGCTGGGCTCTGGCGATCCTTCTGCCTCAGCCTTCCAAGTAGCTGGAACTACAGTCATGCACTACCATGCCCAGCTAAGTTTTTTTTTCCACATATGTTGAACATTTGTATACCTAACCTTTAATTGTGTAAGTTTTTTATTTATTGTAGAGACAAGGTTTCACCAAGTTTCTCAGGCTGGTCTGGAACCCCTGGGCTCAGGCTTTGTTTCATTTTTTATTAGAACATAAACATTTTCAGGCCAGGCACAGTGGCTCATGCCTATAACCTCAGCACTTTGGGAGACAGAAGTGAGAGAATCGCCTGAACCCACGGGTTTGAGACCAGTCTGGGCAATTGGCAAGACCTCATCTCTACAATAAATCAAAAAATTTAGCCAGGCATTGTGGTGTACCACTTACTTGGTAGTTCCACTTACTTGGAAGGCTGAGGTGGAAGGATCACCTGAGCCCAGCAGGTTGAGGTTGTGGTGGCTGTAACTGTGCTACTGTACTCAAGCCTGGGTGACAGAGTGAAACTTCAACTCAAATAAAACAAAACACGAACATTTTCTATGCTTTTATGAACTATTCACAAACATCATTTCATTTATTTATTTACTCATTTATTTATTTAAGTTGGTGTCTCACTCTGTTGCCCAGGCTGAAGTGCAGTGGCACAATCATGGCTCATTGCAGCCTTGACCTCCTAGACTCAGGAGATCCTTCTGCTTCTGTCTCCCAAGGAGCTGGGACTAGAGTGCACCACCACTCCCAGCTAATTTTTATTCTTTAATTTTTTTGTAGAGATGAAGTCTCACTATGTTGCCTAAGCCAGGCTTGAACTCTTGCCCTCAAGCAATCCTTCTGTCTTAACCTCCCAAAGTGGTGAGACTATAGGTGTAAGCCACTGCACTCAGGCTATAAACATTATTTTAAAAGATACATAATGTTCTACTGAACATACACACCTGTGTTTACATAACCCTCACCTTTCTGTTGGATATTTAAGTTGTTTCTGCTTTTTCAGTACTATAAATAAGACTAATAACATTTAAGTACACTTTTTTAAACATTTCAAATTATTCCTACTGAACAGACTGCAAGATATCTCTAGCCTTGTTTTTTATAATACTGCCTCCAAATGTCATTTAGTAAATATTAATATCAAATGACAATAATGTGCTTCTGCATATTAAAATAGATTTAGTTTTATTTGTGACTTTCAGGAAGTATAAGGCAAGAAATACTGTTAAACTATACACATTAGCCAGGCAACACTGTCACCCCCTCACCCCATCTAATAACAAACATAAGAGATAGATGCTTGCTATTAACCAGACTTCATCAATAGTATTTTAGTAAACCCTGGCATTCCTTCTTTATAAATCCAAGATTTTGAAATATAGGACAGAATACAAGAACTTTTCATACCTGAGAAAACCATCAAAGAAGCAAAAAAGAAAAAAAAAAAAAAAAGGAATATACATCCTAAATTTCTCACATTTCTAGTCTAGCAAGAAATTCAGGACTGGATTCCATCACCAGATTCCATTGGAGTTACTTGTGTCTTGGTACACTGTGAGCCAGGTATAGTGAGGTTCTTTTTATATTTTGTGTTTCATTGTCTTAAAGAGTTCACTATGATCCAACTAGACTTTGATCTTAATTTGTTTTGGGGATTAGAAATAGCATATGTTACCAAACAACAAAAACATTACAACAGATTGTCCTCTGGGATTTTTTTAAAAATTAGAATTCTTTATGTAATAATAATGCCTTGGCTGGGTGTGGTGGCTCACACCTGTAATTCCAGCACTTTGGGAAGTGAAGGTGAGAGGATTGCCTGAGCCCAGGGGTCTGAGACCAGACTGGGCAACTTGCTGAGGCCTTATCTCTACAATAAATCCAAAAAAAAATTAGTCAGGTGTGGTGGCACACACCTGTAGTTACAGCTACTTGGAAGGCTGAGGGGGACGATCGCCTGAGCACACCAGGCCAAGGCTGCGGTGGCCGTGAGCGTGCCACTGCACTCCAGCCTGGGCAACAGTGCTATTTCAATATGCTTGAAGTAATAAAGTGGTTTTTTTGGGGGGGGGGAAGCATACAACTAAGTCATTAATAGCAAATACTGAAACATCTGTTACTTTACTTGTACTTAGCAAACTTATGATGAGCACTGAATATATCCTTTCAGCCTTAAATCCTTCACACCAAAATAAAACTCTATTTCTGAACAGTCCTTTTAGCCATTTTAAGGTGTGAATTATCTTAAGAAAGAGTTTCAAAATTAAGCTTCATGTGACTATGGATCTTCTTAGGTGGTTCTAATAGTCTGTGATTAGAAAGGATTCTATGTCCTGCTTATTATAATTCTAGCAGTTAAAGCTTCCTTAGCACACACCTACCAGGGAGATTGACTTCCATCAAGTATTTCAAGCACAAGATGTTGGGGTGAAGATAGCAGTCTTCAGTTATGTCTGGAAAACGAGGCAAGTCTAAAAATGTAGCAACTTCAATTGTTTTTTTATAGATATCCTCATAGTCAGGCCAAGACTGAAATAAAAGAGAGATTATCATTGTAGCAATTTCTGCAACATAAACTATTTGTAAAAATATTATTTGATTTGAAAATATGCTCCAACCCAGAGTATCTGGAATAATTATAAATAAATAAATAAACTGCATTCATTGAATAAAATTTGGAATGTGGAGCAAAGTATGAAGGGGAAAATACTCATTAATTCTTAATAGTCTAACCAGGCAATCTTAAATAGCAATAATACTAAATTAAAAAGACATTACAATTCTATTTGGCTCATAAGACTCCTTCTGGTCTTATCCATGATATGGTGAAATCGGTACTTCTTGCCTTAGAAGAATCTGGAAGAAGGGATAATGCTAAAACCCAATCAGAGTTACAGTATTGTCATAAGAGCTCGAATACACAACTTCCTTCTCACCCTTCCTCACCTGCACCCTCTCAATCTTCAAACACACAGCTAAAAAAATGCAGCAGTTCACTGTTATATAACATTCACATGCTTCCATGTGGGAGAGAATACCAGACTCTAAGTCTAGCAGTTAAAAATCCACAATTCAACTACACACTAAACTCTCCCACATAAAAGCATATTAAGATTCTCTTACAAAACTCAGAAAAATCTATGAGCAAATACTAATAAAGTGATTCTGTCCATCACTTTAAGATCACCTTTGTGGTTTTTTGTACATGCTATTAATATTTTTGTAGTTTATGAATATTTGTAATATTAAAACTACATGTAATTTTTCCTCATTCACTCATCTAGTCGCATAAAAATATTAAGTTTAGGGCCTAGTGGATGCAGAGCACTTTGGAAAACAAAAATGAATAACATAATCCCCTCAAGGAGTTTACATTCTAGAAAGGGAGATAAGGTACGCATAAATAACTATAGTACAAAATAGGAAGGTATCAGGTACTACAAGTAAGAAATAAACAAAAGGCTATGGGATTTCTGATATGGTAGAACCCTGTTAAAATTGGGCCTGAGCCCAAACTTTGAAAGATCGTTTGGCAGCATCTACTAAAGTTGAGATATGTGCATTCTGTATCAAAGCAATTCTACTCCTGTATATACCTGAAAAATGTGTATGCATGTCCATGAATGTTCTAGAATGTTCACTGCAGCACTAGAATGTTCATAACAGCACTATCTGTAAAAGTTCTAGGCTAGAAATCACACAAATGTCTATCAATGATAGAATATAAAAATAATATTTTACATGATATATTCTTACAACGGAATATTATTCAGCAATTGAATGCTCTACATGCAACAATGAGTGAGTCTTCAAAACACAACGCTCAAAGAAAACAGCCATATGCAAAAGATGATGATCCCATTTATATAAAGTCCAAAACTCAGCAATTTGATCCCAAATTTCTACACCGTTAGATGTCAGTATAATGGTTGCTGTTGTGGTGGGTTTGTCACAGCTGGAAGGGAGCATACTGTAGAGCTTCTGGGAGGCTAGCAGTGCTTCTTCATCTGCATGCTGGGTACATGACTGTGTTCAGGTTGTGATAATTCATCATACATTTATGGTATATGCACTTTTCTTTCTTTCTTCTTTTTTTTGAAGAGACAGAGTCTCTGTCATCCAAGCTGGAGTGCAGCGGCACAATCATAGCTTAATGCAGCCTTGAACTCTTGGGCTTAAGCAATTCTTCCACCTCAGCCTCCTGAGTAGATGAGACTACAGGCATTGCCACAATACCTAGCTGGCTTTTTCAAAATCTTTCTGTAGAGACATGGTGTTGCTATGTTGCCCAGGCTGGTCTCAAACTCCTGGCCTCAAGTGATCCCCCCAAAATGCAGAGATTATAGGCATGAGACACCATGCCTGGCCTGATATGTGCACTTTTCTATATGTCTAAACCTCAAAAAAAGTTAAATTAAAAAGTGGGGAGGGGATCGCAAGAAATGAAAGATAATATCAGTCAAGTAAACTATTTTGCATATAAGAGCTGTTTCATACATGAATGTTCCCATTCCTTTGTGGGAGAAATAATCTGACTGGTAAATACAGAATTGGAGAGTCCTTGAAAAATCGACGGCCTAACCTACCAAATCCCTAGCAGGGGGATGCCTAGCTCTTCTTGTAAACTTTCAGTGATGGGAATCCAATACATTTCCTGAAGGCAGTCATTTTTTTTTTTTTTTGAGTCAGAGTCTCACTCTGTTGCCCAGGCTGGAGTGTAGTAGCACACGCATGGCCACCCCAGCATTGACCTGCTGGACTACGGCAATCCTTCCATCTCAGCCTTCCAAGTAGTGGGAACTATAGCCATGCGCCACCATGCCCAGCTAATCTTTTGGTTTATTGTAGAGACAAGGTCTCACCAAGTTGTCCAGGCTGTTCTCAAACCCCTGGGCTCAGGCGATCCTCTTGCCTCCACCTCCCAAAGTGCTGGGATTACAAGCGTGAGCCACCACACCCAGCTAGTCATTTCATTTTTAATGTATCTAACTATTAAGTCCTTCCCTAGTCTAAGTAAAAATCTGCTTTCCAATTTGAATTTACAGCTAACTACATCCCCTGAGTTATTTCAGAAACTGCTGCTGTAAGGATAATGTCTTGCCTATCTTTTAAATATATGAATATATTTGGGAATCAACTGGAGGAATTAATATTTCTCTGTAACAAACTATAAAAATAACTCCTGAAAATATAGCCTTAATATTTCTCTGTAAAATTTTACTTTGATAAATTCAGCTCATATGTAATTATAAAACACAAGGAAATGCCTTATTATGGTACAGGGGGATGTTTGCAGAAAACAATCATATTTGTAATATCTAGAATTTATAGCTATACTTGATTTTACTTTGCCTGAAGCTACAATCTTCTCTGTATTATATTTCTTTTGATACAATTATTTCAATACTTAAACTCCTGAGTTTTATTAGGAAAAAAGTACCTTAGTTTATGTTATATTATCAGCATATGATCTGCAGCCAAAGAATACAAAGTACATTTCTCCCAATTCAAAGTAGCAATGCGGCTTTTTTTTTTCCTTACATCGTGGTCTTTTTTTTTAAATGTTGGGATAGATTAATCCTACTTGTATACTAAAATATTATTACTTGTATTTGAATCTGTGGATTTAAAAGAGAGAAAAGGGAAAATTCTCAGCAAACTTTGGAAAGAAGTGTCTTTCTTTTTACATATAAAATTAATTCACCTAGACCTCTGCTTCGTTCTGTACAGAATTTGAAGCACCTTTTCAAGTTCAGATAATTTTAACATTTCTAACAAGATTTATGGCAACCCTAATCCTTTTAAATGATCCTTTTAAATCTCCAATAATGGAGATGCAATTAAGTACTTTTATCTGCAAACAAAACAACACTACAGCTGATATTCCAATTCAGTATTACAGATTTTATTTTTTAAAATTTACTTTTAAACAGAGATAACCTTTTCTTTTTGAATATCACTCAATATATTATTTTTAAAGGTGGCTAAAGGGTTTTTTAACATCATTCCTTTTTTTTAAGACCCATCTTCTATCATTATACATTTAGGCTGTTTCCAATTTTTAGACTGGTATAAATAATACCATGAAGAATATATTTTAGTGACATTTAAATTTGATTATAAAAATGATAAATGAGTATTACAGAAAATTTATGAAATATAAAATACTATACTGAAGATAATAAAAATCACTAACAAGAGTAAAATCCATTAGGATCTTGGACTTCTCGCTCAGCCCTTTTGGGTACATGCATATTCTTAACATTGGGATTTAAATCTACCACCCTATGTGATATCTCTACTTAGGAATCTCTCTAGTATAGAAAACGTCTATAACCCAAACTTAATTCTTTATCGTCTACATCCCCAGATTTTATCCCTCTAACCATGTTCCTTACCTAGTCACAAAAAAAGTTTAGGACCCCTCTCTTTCCTCACATGCCACAGCCATTTCATTCCATGAACTATTTACTACACCTCCAAGTTTGGTCTCCAATGCTAGTCTCTCTCTTCACTTTAACTACACTACCCCAGACCAGGACTACCAGCCTCCTGACAGACCCATATCTGCTTCTGTCTCTTTGCAACTGGTAGTCTGAATGAGATTCTAAAACGCAAATCTGAATGTCACTCCTCAGCTAAAATCCCTCTAACAGTTTACACTGCTCTTAGGCTAAGCTCCCATCTGTCTAGGAGCTTTTGTATAAAGTAAATTAGAAATAAAGTTTCATCTCCTGCATTTTCATCTAACATTACCAGGGGGACCCAAACAAAACTGGAATTATCTTTTGGAGGGTGGACCCCTTGTAGTACAGGCTTCCCCTGCTAGGTAAGAGTTCTGGGAACCCACTGGGATCAGTGTACCAGCTAGCGTTGTTGTGAGAAGCTGTGTGCATTCAGCTTCAGTGGAACTTTTTTGAGATTCTTTCAACACATTTGCCCATTTCATGATGGGTGATTTATGAGTATACCTGCCTACACCTTGCTGAGTGTTCTGCAATTTTCAACCAAAACAGCATAACCCCCATACCCTACCCTCCCTACTCACTTATCTGAACAGTGGAAAAAGCATCTTGATAGGTGCATTGCATCAAATGGAGAGTACTTTAAGGTGACTGAAGTTTAAACATATACAAATAAATACACAATTTTTTATAAATAAATTTTGGGGTTTTTCTGGGTCTCCCCATGTATATTTTCTGAGAATTCTCCCATGTCATGAGAGACTGTGAAAACATCATTTTGCATGACTTGAAAATATTCCCCTCTGTGAATCCATCAATTTCTTTTTATTGGGCATCTAAGTTAGATGTAAGCTACATGCATCACATTAAGCAATTATTAAAAAGTGGTTTTCATAGACTGTTCCATGACTTGAGAAAATATTCCTAGTACAATATTGAGTTTTTGAAATCAGGACACAAATTTGTATACATGCTTCAATCCTAATTTTGCAAATAAGTTTAAGTACATTAAAAAAGACAATCAGAGCCGGGCTCGGTGGCTCAGCCTGTAATCCTGCGCCTTTG